ATCTTTCCTTAATGGATATCTCTTTGCCTCCTGGCTCCATCTTTCCTCTTCTGTGTTGGGTATTTCACATTAGATTCAGGAGGACTCAATTATATTTCTAATTTCATCTTATTCCGATGGTTGATAATTTATCAGATCTCACCCTTAAGCCAAGGTTTTGCCAACAGCAGTTCTCGAAATATATAGGGATGTAAGTATGCATCCTGCAACCTTTTCAGGTCATCAGTAATTAACATATTGTTTATCTCAGTGCTTTTTTCTGTTAAAAAAATGTTTAGGGGTACTCTCATTTTGACTCAAGAAAACCACCATTTTATAGTTCAAATCGGGGAAAATAAATACAGTAAATGGACAAAGGTACAAAGATTCACAAAATGTTTAGGGGTATGCATACCTCTGCATCCCCCCAGAAAAAGCACTGGTTTATCTACCATCCACATTATTATTATTTTATTATTATTATTTATTGAATTTATATACCACCCTATACCCAGGGGGTCTCTGGGCGGTTCACAGAATAAAATCAAGATATACAACAAAATACATAATAAAAATAAAAACAACAACCCAATAGCCCCCCCCAACAAAAATAACACATTTTAAAAGAGCATAAGATGTAAATTAGAGCAACCAAAGGATTGGTTAAAAAGGAACGCTTTTGCCTGGTGCCTAAAGGTGCATAATGAAGGCACCAGGTGAACTTCTCTGGGGAGAGCATTCCACAGATAGGGAGCCACTGCAGAGAAGGCCTGTTCTCGTGTTGCCACCCTCCGGACCTCTCGAGGAGGAGACACATGAAGGAGGGCCTCAGAAGATGTTGGCCTTTTGTTGTAAAAATGAAAGGCAAAAGACTCAACTCTTTCCATTTTACTTCCCCATCCCATCACAATGTAAGAGAATAGTGGACTTGTGTGTCCCACTATATCAAAGTCCCTAGAACTACTTCTCTGAAATTCCAAGAGCTTTCCCAATTTTCCTGGCCCATAAGCAAGCTATGGTTCCCCCCAGATACAGGAAATCTAGGGCAGGTGTCCATGAAATACAAAAGAGAGCAAAAGTGGTAGGGGTGTGTGGGTGTTGCCAATTTGGGAGGGTTGGCATTGTGGTGCTGCTTGTTTTAGGGGCAGTTGGCTTGAGAGTATTGCCTGTTTTGCGCAGAAAGAATTGGCTTTGGGGTGTTTGCCGGGGTATTTTTGCCTGAGCACGTTCCCTGTTATTTGATGTGTCACCTTAGCCTGGCTTTTGTGTGCTTTGGGAGAAGTTTCTTTGATAAATTATTTCTTTTTGGTGACCAGCAGGCTCCCACAGCAGTCTTTTGTGACTTGGCTCGCCCCACCCGTCCAGACATTTTGTGATTATGCCCTTGACAATTTCTTGGTTGGAAATATGGGAAAACTCAAGTATCTGAAAACAAACCCAGGAACCTTGTAAGCAAATACTGTGTACACAGTACCAACATAAAACACAGCTGGGTCATTCTTTTTCTTGATTTGGGTGAAGCCTGGCTTGGGAGAAACCACATCAAAGCACAGTATTTTATAAGAAATGACGGGATGCATACCAGAAAGATACCGATTGTGGCAAATGTTGTGTGCACACCGCTTCCCAAACCAGTCATGGGAGTGCACTGAATTCAGATTAAACAGGAGTGTGTACACAGCCATAGACTTTCCTATATGAACAATGACTTTAGATACTTGTTTTGGGACAAATTAGAAGAAAAGAGGTGTAAAACAAATTAGACTTTTCTGTAACTTTCTGATGAATACAAGACCCAGGGCTATATGGGGCCTTTTTTGTTGAAGCCAAGCCCAGAGAATCATCAGTGCATTGTACAACTGGATAAATGATCCATGTCCTTCTGGTTTCAATGGTTTGTGCCCAGATTTTCACCTCCACAAAAGAACTATTAAGAAAAACAGTTTCAGTAATGCAGCATATACCTAAATTTCTTTTTTTTTTAATAAGTTTTTATTGTTAAATTAGTTCATCATTAATACACATATACAAGCATACAAACATACATTTCATACAATCCTTAAAAGTGTTCAAACATACTTACACTCAATCCCACAAATAATTCCTTTCCCCATCACCATCCACCACCCCTCACCCCACCTTTGTGTTTGACTTCCAATCTACTCAATTACAATTCCTTTCCACTTCTATTACTTTCTTTCACACACCTTTAGCCTAATTTCATACTTCTTTTCTATTACACATTGTTATCCATCTTATTTGATATTTCAGTATTTGAAACGGAACTTGTTTATTCTAATAGGAGTTCTGATTTTTCGATATGATTTTGCAAGTATCTTTTAAACACCTTCCAGTCCCTATCTATCTTTTCTTTTGAAATCCTTCCAATTTCTTCCATTGTTTTGGATATATTGTAATACTCCAATAATTTGGCAAGCCACTCTGTTTTTTTCGGTATTATACCACTTTTCCAGTTTTTCGCAATCAATACCCTTGCTGCTACTGTTGCGTATAAATATAAGGTCTTATCTTCTTCCTTTAGGCTTCCTGGTACTATTCCCAATAGAAAACCTTCTGGTGTTTTCCTAAATGAGTATCTAAACATTTTTTCATTTCATTATATATTATTTCCCAAAATTGTTTGATGTTTAAACAATTCCACCATATATGTATCATAGTACCTTTTCCCGTGTTGCATCGCCAGCAGACATCGCTACAATTTTTATTCATTTTTGCTATTCTTTCAGGTGTTAAATACCATCTATGTTGCATTTTAAGGTAATTTTCTTTCAGTATATAACACATAGTGAATTTCATATCTTCTTTCCACAATTTTTCCCATTGTTCAAACATAATATTTTTCCCAATATCTTGCGCCCATTTAATCATTGATGCTTTAACCAATTCATCCTTTGTTTCCCACTCTAAAATCAGATTATACAATTTAGATATTTTTTTTAATTTTTCTTGTATTAAGTATTTATCAAATTTTGATATTTCTTTTTCAAATCCTAACTTTTTGTCTTTCGCTAATCTATACTTAATTTGAATATATTGGAACCAATCACTAATATGAGCTTTAATTTCTGTGTAATCCTTTAATTCCAATTCTCCGTTTTCTTCCTTTAATACAGTTTTATAGGTAGCCCAATTTTCTTTCATATTTACCTTTTTCACTGTGACAATTTCTGCTGGCGATGCCCACCAGGGAGTTTTCGGTTCTAGGAGTCTATTATATTTCTCCCATATTTTATATATAGATTTTCTGATTATATGCCCTAGGAAGCCTTTATGTACTCTCACTTTTTCATCTATTAGATAGGCATGCCATCCAAATCTCGTCTCTACTCCCTCTAAATCCAATACATCCGAGTCATCTAATTTGATCCATTCCTTTAGCCAGGTCAGACCCACCGCATCGTGATATAACTCCATATCTGGGAGACCAAATCCTCCTCTCTCCTTCTTATCTATCATTATTTTGTGTTTTATTCTTGGCTTTTTCCCTGACCATACGAATTTAGCCAAATCTCTTTTCCAGTTATTAAAACATTTATCTCCTCCTAGTATTGGGATACTTTGAAATAAAAACATCATCCTTGGTAATATGTTCATCTTTATTACCGATATTTTCCCTAGTAAGGAAAGATTTAATTTCCCCATACTTGCAAGTCATTTTTATTTCATTCCATGTTTTCCCATAGTTCTCATTACTTAAATCTATAGTGTTTGTTGTTAAATTTATTCCAAGATACCTTATTTTCTTTTTAATTTCCAATCCTGTAATTTCTTGTAATTTCACTTTATCTTTTTCTTCCATATTTTTCACTAGTATTTTGGTTTTCCCATAGTTTAATTTGAATCCTGCTAATCTGCCATATTCGTTTATGCATTCCAATATTCTAGGTGTACATTGTAGGGGATTTTCTGTTGTGATCATAACATCATCTGCAAAGGCTCTTAACTTGTATCTTTTTTCACCAACTGCTATTCCTCTTATTTAGTTGTCCTGCCTTATTTTCTTTAATAGAACCTCTAATACTATTATAAATAACATTGGGGATAGGGGGCATCCTTGTCTTGTACCTTTAAAGATGTTGATTTCTTCTCCAAACTCTCCATTAATAATAATTTTTGCTTTCTGTTGGTTATATATTGCATTTATACCTTTTGGGAATTTTTCACCTAGACACAATTCTTTTAATAGTTTTTTCATAAATTCCCATGAGATTTTGTCGAAAGCCTTCTCCGCATCGATTGAAATCAGGGCTGCTTGTTTGTCTCTTCTTACTTGTAGATATTCCATTATGTCTATTATATTTCTGATATTATCCTTTATTTGTATACCTTCCACAAATCCAGCCTGATTTTTATGTACTATTTTTCCTATAATTTTTTTCAACCTGTAAGCCAATAATCCTGCATAAATTTTATAATCGGATTTAACAATGAAATGGGTCTATAATTTGAGACAGATTCCAAATCCGTACCTTGTTTTGGCAGGAGCGTTCTATACCCTTGAGTCCAAGAGTCTGGAATATTCCCCTTCTCTACTGCTTCCTCTATTACTTCTTTTAGTGGGTCGATTAATTCATTTAACATTTCTTTGTAGTATTCTGCTGGTATGCTATCTGGACCTGGGGATTTCCCTATTTTTAATTTTTGAATTGATTCCTTAATTTCTACGGTTGATATTGGTTCATTTAATAATTTATGGTCTTCTGCTATCTCTATTAATTTATTTTTCTTTATATATTCCTCTATTTCTTCTATTGGCACTTCATCTTTTTGATATAATTTTTTGTAATATTTTTCAAATTCTTTTTTAATTTCTGTCATATCCCTTATTGTCCTCTCTTCTACTTTTATTTTATTTATTAATTTTTCATTTCTTTGTTTCTTTAGTTGCCAGGCAAGGATCTTGCCTGGCTTATTTGCCCATTCAAAATTTTTATATTTCCACAATTTGATTTGTTGTTCTACCTCCTGTTCTATAATTTTATTATATTCTACTCTCAGAACCCTCCTGGGTTCCCTTTTTTCCCCTTGTCTTATTTCCTTTTAGGTTTTATTACTGCTGCTACCACTTTACGTTTATTTTGACATAGAAATAGAGATTTTACCATCTTGTTGCTGCTTCAGTGATGTGAGGCTTTTCACCGGTCTGTTTGATGTTCTTCTCTGTGCCTGGATTCCCCCCCACCTCAGCCGTTTTTCCTTCAGCGAGGGGTGCCAGGACTCCAAAAAGACACTGCCGAAGTTCCTTTGACTTGAGCTTCCTTCCAAGCCTTTTCAGGGGTCGTCTAGCCAAACGTTGCCCCTCACAGTACCGGTGTATGCCCCAAACTGCTTACTGCAGTCAGAGCTCACACTGTTGCAGCTGTGGTAAAAGCGGAAGTGCCCCTTCATACTGCTATGATTACACTGAAATTCTTTTTCTTGCACAGGTTTCCATATGGATAGCATTGGGGATTGCCCAGCTGCAGAAACAGCCCAAGTGGCAAAGTTTTCAGGCAACATACCTGTGAAGCAACACAAGATCAGACAGGTGCTCAGCTAGGAGGGTTGCTTGCAGTGCCACAGAGGACACTGCAAAATGTCACTATGTTCTATCAAGATGTGTGGGCCAGTATCCCATGCAAAATCTCAAGGGACCCTGGACCTGCACCTCTTAGATTATTTGGTGCAACTACTTTGAATAGCAACACTTATGAGGCTGGCCTTAGAACAAGGATGGGGAACCTGTGGCTCTGCAGATATGACTGAACTGCAGCTGCCATTATGTGTGACCACTAACCATGCTGCCTGTTGCTAAACATATGTCAAGACCCCTAAACATCTGCAAGGCCACAGGTTGCCCATCCCTGTCTTAGATAATATGTAGTATCATTAAATGTTACAACTGGATTTTTTGGCACATGTTCCACATTGGCATTCTGAGAGTGGCATAGCACATGAGCTGTAAAACCCTCCTTTGCGATAGGAGGACCAGAATACTGATCTACTTCAGAGGGTGATGGTAGCACTTAGTGAGAGAATATGTGCAAAGTGCTTTGAACATTCTAAAAGTGTAATAACAACAATAATAACTTCTCTTGTGAAAGGGTTGCTTCCCACGATTCATTGGGGGATTTATTTTAAAGAGAAACTCTTTTTGTTATTCTGATTGCAAATGGCAATTGGTGCACATGGTAAACCTTAGTGGTGCGCCGGGAACCATGGCGATCTGCACGTGGAAAGTCAGCTATGAACATGGGGGCCAGATGACTCATCCTGGAGGCAACAGAGCTCTGAGTGCTTTATTCCTGTCTGCTAAAATTAGAGCGAGAATTAAAACACCATTGCATTTTTAGTGTTCCCATAAATTTGTGTCAGCCATGTCAGTCAATATAATTAACGTAAAGCCATTACCAGAAGGAAGAAGCCGTGGCCATCTTCCCCCCACCCACAAATGAGTAATGTGTTGGAAATTTAATCTAATGTCCATAATAGCATGAATAAATGAAGCATAAATAAATAGAATTTATCCTTTAAACAAAGGTCATTACAAATATCATGTTACGGCCTGAAAATGCAGGGCAGGGGAGTCTCTCACCAGGTATGCAGTTTCTGTCTGCAAGAAGGTGCCTTTCTCAAATGAAGTGACTTTCAAGAAGCTCTCTCCTTCCTGGCTTTTAGTTCAAGGTTTGGGGTTTCTAAGCAACTGCACAAAGATTAGAATAATGCGGAATGGCTTGTTGATGGTGGAAGACAGAATGTTCAGTGATGTGGTTGGCTGTAAAAATAAAATAAAATAGTGCAACATGTCCTCCAAGTTCCCGTCCTCCCACTCTCCGTGCATAAGTGGCTAATAACAGCCAGAAAAATGGTTGCTTTCGTGAGAAGGCTTAAAAATAGCGCGTTGCTTAGTTCATCACAGGGAAGGTTGTGTAAAGGCACCACACGCCCTCAAATATGCAAGAAATGACCTAAGGTGCAATACTCAAAAGTTGAGATCCCCTTTTAAATCTTCAGGACATGGCCTGGGGGCAGATAATGCAAAAAAGGTGGGGGTTATAAATTGGACCAAATAAATAATCTAAACTAATTTTCATCAGTAAAATAAAACAAAATAAACTGACTCAGTAGTTTGCTGGTAGGAACCGCTTCCTGCAACTGTAAATAAGTTGAATGAAAAGGGGAATTTGTTTCCATTCTGACTGTAGGCAGAGGTGGAATGTACCCAGGAAGCACCATGCAAGTGGATGTAACAGTCACTGGTTTATGTACTTCCTATACGCATTACATTTTTATTTCACCTTTCCTCCAGGGTGATGCACATGCTGTCATTCTGTCCATGTAACAGCCCTGTAAGGCCGATTAGGCTCAAAGATCACACAGATCATGGCAGAAGAGGGATTTTGAACTTGGGTCTTCCCAATCGTGAACTGGCAATTCTAATGCAATCAGCCAGCCTTCCCCAACTGGGTGTTTTCCAGATATTTTAGACTACAATTCCCATCAGCCCCACTTGACTGCGGCTGATGGGAGTTGCAGTCCAAGACATTTTCAGTGTACCCAATTGGGGAGACTTCGTTTGCCACAGTTTGCCCAGCCACTCAGTCCCCTCTGGCTTTGCTCAGTGGTGAGAAACCTCCTGACTTCTACTGAAGCTCATTGGAGTTCTTCCCCCTTCACAGTCAGTGGTTCCTTCCCACCTGCAGTCAAACCACTTCACCAGCCATCACTAGTGAAAAGCAATGAATCAACCTGGCAGTATTTCAAAGACAGCTTGGCTGCATCTTGCAGACTAGACTGCCTGCTGTCGAAGGTGCCTCTCTGATGTCAGGGCCGCTGTCACGGCAGCAAGCAGTTGGAAGACTCCCTTTCAAATTGTGGGTGCAGACGCTGCAATGCTAGCTTTTCAACTAGTGTCAGATTTTCATAGGCAAGTAGTTTTCTGACTCTGGCAATGTGGCAGTGCTGATTTGTTGGTATCTTCATTGAATGGAAGCCTTTTACCTTTGAGAGCCAAACTACATGTGTAACCTTCCCCTGGCATTCCCCTTCTCCCATACACACCTGCAGTCAACTGTATGGAAGATGTAACATACAAATGTTTGGTTTCTGAGCCATTCATGATTTAACAAACAATTTCTGATCTAAAGCCAGTTATGTAAAAAAAACAGTTTTTTAAAAAAAAAAGAATTTCAACTCCACCTTCATACCCAGGACAGTTTAGCAGTTCAAAGAAATATGATACTATCTATCTACACACACACACACACACACACACACACACACACACACACACCTGTAAAGACATCTGTGTGGGGGAAGATATGTCCAACGCTAATGACATTTTCCAGTGAACTGGAAGCAATTTTATAGAGAATGCAAAGTAAGGCTTCTTAAATAACATACACTGGTGCCATCTGTATGGCAAAAACATTTTACAAGCATCTAACAGATGTACTAGTAAGTCGACTGCCAGAACAATTTGTTTTAATGGAGAGGACACATATTCAAAGTAAAATATGGGGATACTGTCCACTCCAGATTGCAAGTGAAATGTAATTCACACAGCTGCGTGGTGAAAGGGAAAGTTACAGGGAACAGAAAATGCAATCCTGTAAATGATAACTTCAGTATTATTATTATTATTATTATTATTATTATTATTATTTATTGAATATAAGAGGTCTCAGTATAGTCATATAAAAGCAGACTAAAACTGTTGTGCATTCCTGAATACCTGCTTCATTTCTTGAGATCTGAGGTTAGGATGATGGAATAAAAAATAAAATAGGGCTAGGCTGCTCTCCTATACCCATTCATCTCTGAGTAAGCCTTATTTCTGAGGCTTGCTTCTGAGTAGGTGCATACAATATTGCACCGTAAGAACGGGAAGGAAATAAGTCCTAAAGAAACTGAATAATCCTAACAGTCTGGTAGAGATACACAGTACCATGGAATTTCTTTTTTCTTATAACTGAAACTGACTCTAAATAAATTGTCAAAAAGGTACTGAACAATATCATTAAGCCAAGCCCTTTGTTGCACATTTTTAATAGCAAATCACAAATCAGTGTGCCAGGAGAAAAACAAAATCTCCATAATGGCAGCTCACTGACAGCAATATAAAGACATATTTTATTGTCCTGATCTCAACGGTTGACAAAATAATCAGAGGATCAGGACAAAGGATAGAAACAAGAGCTTTTTTTGCAATTGCCAAGTAGGACCTGTATGTGATTTCCCCCCAGCCCACAATCCTATCAAGCACATGATGATTTGAAGCAAACCAGCCAAATGTTTTATTCAAGCTCTCTAGTAGTGTTTGTATTTATTCAAGTAGGTTTTAAAAATGGTGATCATAACATGCCCCAAAAAGGACAGATGTACAGAGCATTCTGATACATAACTACTCAAAAGTAAGTCCTATTGTGTATAGTACTGGAGTCCTGTACATACTTAGCTGTGATAAGTCCCATTGAGCTCAATGCTAGCTTCTTCTGTGTACAGACAAGTCAGGAGCTGGAGTCAAGCATAGGTCAGCAATAAAACAGCTGGTGTCAGCGAAGTTAGATCTTTATTCAAAGAAATCAAAACAGTGCAGGTCTAGTGATCCCAGTAACTCTTCCCAGTAGGTCTTGCCCCAATGAGCCAGTTGCGAAGACTGAAGGTCCTTGCCTTCCCACCAATGTCTAAGGCTCCCCCTCCCATTGTCTTTCCCAAGCAGTTGCAAAATGCATCTGTGCAGAACAAATCTCTGCTCTGCTCTTTTCATTTCTCTGCATGTTCTAGGACAGGGGTAGGCAACCTAAAACCCACGGGCCACAAGCAGCCCATGGGGGTCGTTCAACTGGCCCACAAGCCACCCCTGAACCGAGCCACCCGCTTGGCAAGTCCCCACACATCGAGCTAAACCGGCGCAGCGCAGCGAGGGGACTCCCTTCCACGGCACCGGAAATCACATCTGTGCAGTGCAAACGCCGGAAATCTGCACATGCACAATCCGGTCCACACAAAATCCACTGGACTGAACTGGCCCAGGAGACATAAACCTTGCCAACCCCTGTTCTAGGAGATCTGGGGGAGGGGAGCTGGTCACAGCAGGAGGGGGAGACTGCCTGGATTCTTCAGAAGCTTGTCTCAACTCTGCCAATTGGCCACCCTCCTCTCCAGCCTCCGCTTCAGCCTTGGTGTTCTGAACTGCTCTCTGCCACAGCCTCTTCCTGCTCACTAAATCCTGCTACCTCTTCTGCTTCCAATACCGCCTCCTCCCAGTTTTCTCCTTCCTCTCCCTCTGAGCTATGACCCATGCATGGCATTAAAAGTTAGGGGAGAGACCTTTCGAGCGTCTTCAAGGACATCAGAATTGTTTCCAGATTACTTTGAGATGAATAGACTACTTCCCTTTCATTCCTGTGTATGAGTTATTGTTCTGTCGGCAGCCATTGAGATGGTTACAACAGATGCATTTGTTATGTTCAGACAACTCATCCCAATACAGTAGCTTTATAATTTACAGGGACGTGGTAAGTGAAGAGCAAGAAGGAAGAATGGTAGTTTATATGAAGAATGGGTACAATGACCATGTATCTTTCATAAACAGACATTCCATGTTTGCTATTATAATTACCAGAGTGAAAGGAACTTGAAGGCCTCATGGAGAAGCCATCGGCAGTCTGTACCTGCATAAGCTTTTGAAGATTTATTCTCTTCATTTACCTCCAGATATTTAAAGTAAGCAATACTTCTGTCGGTTATAAGTGGAAAAGAGGCTGTTTCTGAGCAAATGCCAACACCTGATTGGAATTCTCTGAAGAATGCCTGAATGAAAATATTGATTCAGGCAAATATTTCAGAGTCTTCACAAGCAAACCAAAATCATATTTTTTTCATTGTTCCACAAGACGAATATTTACACCCCTAAATAAATAAATGGCCAGTAAAGCCATTCAATGTGTTATTAGTTGCACACATGAGATCACTCACTAGGTCCCTGGCACCTAATGCATTGACTATGGCTCTGGCAAACCTATAGTTTTAATCAGCGGTGACTGGTGGACATTGAGAGTGGTGGGGCAGAAGGCAGAGAGACTAACAATAGATGGAGCTAGAGTCAATAGCAGGCAGGGCAAAAATGAATTCTGGGTAATTAGGAGCTGGCTAAAGGCAGACTGACATTGGTGGGGCAGTGCCTCATTTGTCCTTATAGACCAGTTGTGGCGAACCTATGGCACACGTGCCAGAGAGGGCACTCAGAGCCCTCTCTGCGAGCACGTGCGCCATCACCCCAGCAGGGCCACATCTTCCATGCTGGGGGGGGGAGGAGAAGAGAGGAGGGCTCGCATGCAAGCAGTAGTGGAGGTGGGGATCTATCAGAAGTGGAGTGGAAGCTTCATGCTGAGAGATCCCTGCCTCCACTCCTGCTTGCACGCAAGGAGGAGCGGGATCGGGCTGCTCAGCTGAGGAGTGCCTGGCTGCCTTCAGGTGGTGCAGGGCCTCTCAGATGCAGCTTCTGGGCTGCCTCCATCTTCCCCAACCCCAGCAACTATTCAGCCTGGCTGCCTTCATGGGGTTGCAGGGGATCTGATAGGGAGGTGGGACTCCTTTAAACTTCTCCCTTGAGGGGAATGCAGCCGCAAACCCCTCAACGGAGAGTGTGACGGAGCCTGCACCTCCCCAGCTGAGCAGCCCCAATCCAGCTCCTGTTCCCATGCAAGCAGCAACACTGCCTAGCAGAGCAGCCTGATCCCACTCCTACTTGCCTGCAAGCAGGAACAGGCTGGGGGGGGGTGGCGGTAGTAAAATCCCTTGCCTGCTCACTTGCTGCCCCAGCCCGCCTTCTCTCACTAGGAAAACGGAAGTGTGGCACTCAAAACTGAAGTTATACTCAGAACAGAGCATGTTCGGCTTCCAAAAAAAGTTCCAAACTGGAACACTCATTTCCAGGTTTGAAGTGTTCAGGTTCAATGTAGTTCGAAAACTAAGCTGTTCAAAAACTGAGGTACCACTGTATTTATTTTTCCCCGATTGAACTGTATTCATTCCCCCCTCGCCCCCCAGTGGTATTTTTCTTGAGTCAAAATGGGAGTACCCTTAAACACTTTTTTGGGGGGGGAGCACTGAATTATACCATAAAATTATATATCAATGGAAAGATAATTTAATGAAGAATGTAATGTAATAACTTTTATGAAGGATTATTTATTATAACATCAGTCATAAAGAAGAAACCTGAAACACAGAGAAAAAACAAGATATACAGGTTAAATTGCTGTGATGGCACTTTGCAATAAATAAGTGGGTTTGGGGTTGCAGTTTGGGCACTCAGTCTCTAAAAGGTTCGCCATCACTGTTATAGACCAATCTACCACCACCACCACTTCCCTGCTTCAGCATAAAAATGCCTACATACACGGTCTGTATAAGGCAGTTGTCAGTATTTATCAATCAGTGCCAAAACATCACAATCCTCTCTCCCCATCCCATATATAAAGCATGATAAAGTTGTCTATAGTAGACAAATGCAACTGAATAAAAGCCATTCAGATGAAGGGGAGGGAATCAAACTGTCTGCAGGATTGTTGCTGTCTGGATTTCACTGGTGCTAAATTTCTTTCTTTTTAAAGGACTTTACTAGATAAACCTTTGATATATTACAGGCTGCTGCATCTATTAAGATCAACGCTTCAAGGTTTAAAGATAATTCAACATTTTAGAAAGAACTCTTTGCTTGGAGAGGGTTCTTTTAACCATTCTGCATTCTTGCTAAACCTTTGAATGTCGATTTTACAGTGAATCTTCATAGGTGCAACCGTCATTTGTGCGTCCTCTCTCCCCGCTCCTACAACATACACAATGTATCAAAGATTTACACAGTAGTTCATGCAGTAGCAAATCACAGAGCTACTGAAAAGTGATAGTTGAGAGAGGAAATGTAATACAAAAAAATATTCTGGGTGGAACAAAAGACAAGTGGGTGGAGGGAGCACAATATCAAAAAGGAGCAAGCTCAAAAACTAAGCATGAAAAGGTAATGGCCACCAGCTTAGGTGGCTTTAAAGGGGACTGGACCGGCTCCTGGAGACAGGTCTCTCAATAGCTATTGTTGAGTTCTGTTGAAGCTTGAGGCTCACATTCCTCAGTGCAGGCAGTGTTCTGTAGGGCAGAGAGACATTAGAGA